TACTATACTGGAAAAAAAAAAAACTACTTAATTATACATGTGTGGAACGGCGACCCCACGTGTGGTAGACCATCCCAGTCGTCCTGAAAAGATGAGGGTTACGACAAAGACCAAAAGTGTTGATCACAAGCATCCAAAACCAAATAATTGGAAAAGCCAGCTATCAGAGCCAGCCAACACATGCCCTTGCGTTGTTTTTTTGCATCGTGTGGATTGGAATCATTGCCTCGAACCTTTGATCTATTCTTGCACGATCACCACGCACTTGGCTAGATCCATATCCCCTCAGAGGGTTCCTGGCATTTCGAGGAAGTGATAGAGAAGTGGAGGCTGAAGGTGTAAAGATGGGTTGCTGCTCAGATTCAAATGATGATAATAAGATGCTATTAGGGTTGGTGCTAGCTCTTGTCTTGGCAATGATGCTGTTGATTGTTTGCCATCCACCTTATGCAAGAAGAGTCACTGTTTATCACTGCACTTGAATTGTGTTATCCATGATCTTAATTATAGGTAATTATGCTTCTGCAGAATCTTTGAGTGTTTATTGAATTATCTTCATCGCCATTCCAAGTGTAACTTGCAACTAAGTTCATCCATATTAACGTGTCAGTACTGTGCGTTAATTTAATAAAATGAAGGCGGCGCCACTGTAATATTTTTTTTTAATGAATCAACGAATTCCTTGTTTAGAAATTTATCATGCCAATGTTACACATATGGGTTTTAATTAATTGGTACAAATATTGATTAGATCGACAGTGTAGTACTTACTTTTAAGAGAAATGAAATGATAGATAGTATGGATTTGAAATTGATTAACTTGAAATTGATTTTTTTGTAATTTTATTATTTATTATTTATTTTATATGAGATTATCTCAGTTTTATAATTAAAGTTAAGGATTTGACTGGTTAAATTGGGTTGACTCGAATTTGTTTCTATCCCTTTTTAATGGACTTGTTTTTCAATTTTATCATTTGATATTAAAATGATTAGAAATTAAGTTTCATGATTTATTTTAATTTGTTTTCTATTAGGATATGGTCTTATAATCCAAGTTAGTAAGTTAACTGGGGTTTGTTTTTATTTTTTAATTATTTATTTTTAATTTTATTCTTTAAAATTAAATTGGTTGAGAATTGAGCTTTAATATGTTTTTATTTTTATTTTTTTCTGATTGGTTAAGAATTGAGTTTTAATATGTTTTTATTTTTATTTTTTTCTATGAGATTATCACAGTTTCATGACTCGAGTCACAATTTTTACATGTTAACTGAGGCCAAGTCAAGTTGATTCAATTTGTTATTGTCATAATATCTTCTTTTTTTTTCAATTATCTTGAATTTTGTTAGTCAAACTATGTTTTTTTCATGCAGTCTATAATGTCACCCATTTTTTACCCCATAAAAAAATTAATAAAAAAAAATATAAAAATACAAGAGGATACACATGAAGAAAGCCTAAAAGATTGCCAAAATTGATGGTGAAGGACCAAAATGATAAATGGAGAAGTTGGAGGACCAGAATGTACAAGATTGACAAAATTAGTAGTTCAATTCTAATTGACAAAAGACTCGTTCGGTGATAATATTTTTATTTGAGGTAAATAAATACAAATTTGGATGAGTAAGGTCTTGATAAGGATTTTGAAAGGCTTAATTAATTTTATTGAGGATTTAATTACAAGAAAAATTAGTTTTTTGGAGTCAATTTAGATGTTAATTTGAAGAAATTAAAGTTTGAGGATTGAAATTGACATTTGAAAAGTTTCATTTGTCAAATTAATGGGTTTAATTATGAAAAAAATTAAAGTTTGTTAGTTAATTAGGAGTTTGATAGAAGAAATTTAAAACTAAGGATCAAATCATAAAAGATGTGAGACTTCAAGAGTTGAAATTGACCAAATCATGGGTCAAATTAAAAAAATTAAAAGTTTGATGGTCAATTAAGGGTCCAAATACACAAATCTGAAACCAAGGACCAAGATGAAAATGATACTATATTTTAGGGCTGATGATTGAGTTTGATATGAGTAAAATTGCATGAAATTAAGTGTTTGTGACACAATTACAAGTGCAATTAAAAGCAAGGGAAATAGTAGGTACTAAAATGAAATCTATCATATCCCAAATTAAAAACTTGAATTTCTAAAAGTTTAACTTAGACGATATGACATTCAATCACTATTCATAACTTTCCTTGACAATTTTGGATAATCGTGTTGAAACCTTCTAATAGCTCGTTATGGAGTTCTAAACCTCCAAATGGTATGAGGTTTTTTTTTATATATAAATTGAAGAAAAACATCTCCTATATAGCCTTTTTTCTATGAAATTGAACGTTTATATCTCAATTCTACTATAAAAATCTTTAACATCTCATCCTAAATAAGCCATCACTGCATTTTTAAATTTTAGGCTGATTGAGTTAGCACATTTAAACAAATAAATGTAGAGTTAAAGACCTCCAAATAAAGCAAGGATAGATCCAAAAGAGAGGAGTAAAACTCTTCTACAAGTTCAGGGGGTCTCCGATGATGTTTATATCAAAGTTTCTCTATCGAAACTTCAAAAGTAGCAAACCCAATCAGTCTTGATTAAGATACTTATTTATATAGAACCACTTCACATGTTTACGTGTTCACACTTAAAAAATCCCAGAAGGTTCTTATCAAGAGCTATAAATCTTTTATCCAACATTAGAAGGTGAGAAATGCATGTTTTTATCTCTAAGAAAGAGAAAACCATTTAGGCAAAACTATCATCCCTAAAAAACCATTGAAGGACAAAGGTTTCAGCTATTAACGTTTCTCTAGGGCTCTCTTATTTTAATTAAATGACTAATATTTGATCAATTATTAAGAGAATTCATAAAAAAAAAACTTAGAAAAACCCTATAAATACTCCTAGAATAAAAAAAAAAGAGAAAAGAGAAAGAAGTGAGGATATACTTTGTAAAAAAAACCCTAGTGTGAAGGTTCAAAAACCTAACATAGAAGGTCATGTAAGCTTTGAAAAAAAATATAAAATGAAAAGGAAATAAAAAAAAAAAGATATGAGAAGTATCAGCTTATAGCCAATAAGCTAGTAGAAGATATAACCATGTAAAAACTTAAGAGTGGAGTCTAAGTGGCCTACCTATTCATATTTTTTCAATGTTTAATGTTGTTTTTTAATATTTTCAATATTATTTTGTGTTTTAGTATTTATATGGGTTAATAAATAAAAATATTGTCTTGATTGATTAATTATATTTAAAAGTTGTTGCAAATATTACTAGGATATTTAAATGATGTTTGTGTGTTTGATTTTGATAACAAATGGTAGTTTTAGAGTCCGACAAAAGTAGTAGTAGGTGTTTGATGGCTTTTTGTTAGGTTAATAATGCATGTTCTTGATTCTTGAATTTAGTTAAAGTCTCAGGTGTTTAAAGAGTCAGTTTTGAATTAAGTTTTGATATTTTTATTGGCTAATAATAAGGCTGTATTTTTTTAAGTTGAAATCCTATACATGATCTTGATGATTCAAGATTATTTGTTAGTGTTTTTTATTCAAACATGTTTGTTTATGATAATATGACTTGTTGGGACCAAGATAGCTTGATCTGGAGGCCTAAAACTTATTTTTTGAGCTTGATAGTGTATGTTAGATTTTTTTCATGTTTATCCGAAGAACATCGTTTTAAGTGCTAATTTTAGATTTTATTTTAATTTGATTTTAGTTTTTACAAGTTCGTATATCATCCTTAGTAAATAATCTAGGGTTTTCATGCACCAATAACATGTTTTTATGGGTTTAAATGTCAGGGTTTTGATTTTGAATCAAAACCCATTTTGAAAAAAATCATGATGTTTCAGTAATAATTAAAGTAAAAGGATGCTTGATTTTTTTTTTTATTTATGCTTGCTTGCAAACAAAATGTTATTTTTTATTTCTTGAAATCTGGTCAGATTTAATGTTAACTTTGTTGGGTTTGACTTTGAATGTTTTTCATTGTTCACTATGTTCTTTATTTTTCTTGGTGTTTGATCCATTTTTATTAGAAAATTTTATGTTTTTTATGTTCTTTAATTTTGATTTATTTTGATTTAAATATCTGTTCTTGTTTAATTTTGGATGAAACCTTGAATTTTGGTTTGATTCATGATGGAACCAATATTCTAGTTTACTCAATCTGGTTAAAAATTGGATCAAATGCTTAATGATTTGTTTGATTTGCCACTATTTTGATAACAAAAAAATTTGGTTTAATGGCGTGTTTGATAAACACTTTTGTAGACATGTTTTAACAAAAAAAAAATACTAATGAAACTATAGTTTTGCCATGACCTCATAAAAAAATTTAAAAAAAAAATAATTTTTACTTATTACATATAATCCAATCAAACTAGTTGAATTACACTTCTCATGTTAGATTTTCATATTTAAGTGTATGGGTAGTGTTAAAATATTATTTAGGGCATAGGATATGCAAATTAATTGAAACTAAAGATAAGACTGTGGATGCGAAATGCCATCACAGCTGAAATCTGGGCTGTTAAATTATGCCTCGAAAAGGATTGGAATATGATTCAACAGCTATTCAATTTCAGGTGGGGAGCACGCTCTACAATTCTGCAAGAACTTGTTTTAAAATATCAAAGAGTTGTGCTCGTCCTTCCTATGTTCTTATAAAAGGAAAAACTATGAATGTTTTGGAACTATAATGGAGGAATTAGAATGAAAAAAAATAGAGAAATTAAAATGATATGTTAATTATAATATTGTTTTTTAAATAAGAACAAAAAATCATAATAAAATGCAAATTCTTAATACCTTGTTTTTAAAATAAAAATAATAATTATAAAATGATTTCACAGTGACAATGGAGAAGAAAGTGACAATGTAATAGTAATAACAACAACAATAATATAATTTAAAAAAAAAACATGTTAAAAAGTAATGAATAAAAATAATATATTATTATTTTAAAATGAAATTCTCGTTATCCTCCACAATTATATTTAATTTTCATTCTCATAAAATGATTTTCATTTCATTACTTTCAACCAAATAACTACAAAATAAAAATAAAAACTTCCATTTTCGTTCCTACTATTCTGTTCATTATTATAAACACCACCTAAATCTCTGTCCCAATTAAGCGAAGCACAAGTTTACAGCGAATGCGTACAAAAGAACGAAGAGAGAAGAAATGACTAGTCTGTACCGCTCAAGTTGGTGGAGTTGAAAACAAGGGATTGCTGCAATTTGGAGGTTCTTGGGATATCTGGCAGTGAATGTCGCCATATTTGTAAAGATCAGTGGGCCAAAAGTAGAGACTGGTTTTTTCCTAAAACCTCCCAGTGTTAACGAAGTATCTCTTGGGATTCGTTTTTGTGACTACATTGTATCTGAGATACGTCAGCTGTCAAGTTAACTTTGACAGCCACAAACTCTTCAGGGGAGCCTGGACAGCACTCCTGCATGTGAGTGTTCTTCTACATTGTTTTCTATTCATTATGTTTTTCTTTATTAGTATTGCTTACTAATATTTAGTGCTTTTAATTCAGCAAGCTCAGGTGCTTGATCTTTACATTCCTGAGCTAAGCGATGTAACGCACACGGAAATTAAGGTTAATATATGTTATTCCCACAGCCTTCTCTGTTCTGCTGGCTCCTTTCTTGCAAAGATTTACGTTGTTGAAGGTTAGTTTCTTGCTAGTCTAGATATGATTTTAGCTAAGTTTTCGAGCATTTGCTCCATAGAAAAGATAACAATGAGAGTGACTTTGTAAGGATTTCATTGTCAAAACTCTCTTAAATGTCATCACAGCATTAGCATGTGAGAGGAAGCTTGTGTTTTGCCATTATAACATGGTACACAGTTGTCTTTAACTATGGGTGCTCTCCACATTGTAGTTCATGTTTTTATTACCCAAAGCAGCATGAATTGTGTATGTCAAGTAATTGCTTATCTTAGAACCAAGAGATAAAAAAGAGGCACCAGGTAATAGTTTCCCGTGTAAAAGTGTACAAGCCAAGATTTCTCCATAGATTAAACAGCAATCAATACAGTTTTTCTTAGGAACTCCGTCCATATGATGAAAGTCGAAGGCAGATTCACTCAGTAAAAGGGACAGTAAACAAAACAGGCAAAGTAGCCCAATGAAAAGGGCTTGTTAAGTAAAACTATACGAGGATATAATTATTCAGTTTTGTCAGTTTCATCCCCTCCTTAACCAGAACAAAGCTTTTCAAGAGCCGAATTTTCATCACCACCAACAGATTCTAGTGCACTTCTCGCCAGAGCTTCAGGGAAACCCATCTCCACAAGTTTTTGAACCTGCGCCAACCAATATTAGGTTAAAAAAAGGCATTACAGATGTATTAACAGACATATATATGTTGTTTCTAATACAAAAGAAAAATTGATATGTAAGAAAGTGCTACCTGCTGTGAAAATTTTGAGAAATTATAGAATCAACGAGACGAGCATATAGAATAAAACAAGCTACCTTTTCCTCAACCCCAAGCGATGAGGTCTTGGCAAAAGTTTCTGTCCAGTAGCGAGCTGTGCCAACAAAGGTCTGATGGTCTCTAAGATACTGCAATATCCACAACACCGAGTTGAATATGAGAAAAAAAATTAACTAGAATAGAAAATCTACTGAAAAGATTGTAAGAAATAGCAAAAATCTAATAACCTCTGAGATATTGTATTTCAACAAGCAAATAAACCAAACTCAAAAGAGTTATGTAATACAGAATCAGTGACATTGCGGCAAACAATGGCAGCGAACCAGACCTGTTGTGCTACAACAGCATCTTGAGGATCGTCAGGTTCAGGAGCTGAGAGCAATGCTTGGACAGAAAGAAGTGCTGTCTTTAGGGTGAGCGCTGGGCTCCACTGGTCCTTCAAAATGTCCAGGCAGATTGCCCCACTCTGGCTGCTAATATTAGGGTGCCTTCAGCAGGTAATGACATCATAAATGATAATTGAAGTACCATCAGCTCAAATGCCGACTGGAGAAAAGTTATGCAAATAATTTTAAAATTTTCAATACCCCCCTTCAAATTGTTGCATATAATTTTAATTAAGTTCTACAGAATGGCCCCTCCAAATTCAAAATTATAAAACCTTGCCCTCCCAAATGCAACATCATGGATTCATCCCTGGCATGTCCACCTAAATACTGGCAATTAAAACCCTGGTTCAAATGAGTTTTCCACAAGGCCATGTAACATTTAATGAAAAAAAATGAATGTTAGCCAATCGACTGCAAATCACCTCTAATTTAAGAGCATGGAATGAACAAAACTAGTTGAATCCTTGCTTTAAGGTGGTCAATGGTACTAAGTGTAGCTTTTTGAAAGATATGATGGAAAATGAAAACATCATAAAAAAAAATTGAAAAGAAAGAAAATTAAGACAGAAGCTAATTCCATGAGAAGCTGGAAATGCTGGGATTTGAAGTAATACGAGCCAATATATATATATGCCCAAACCAAAAACTATAACGAGTTCTACAACATTTATAAATCATATCAATCAACAACCAACACAACCTTTTGAAGCCAACAGATACATAATAGGCAGATATTCCCTTCATCAATTTATATTGAAAGGTGATACAATTATCCAGTCCATTTGATTTAAAAGAATCACTATTGTTCTCCACTTCCATTCAGCCAATTGAAATATAATCCATAATAATCTAGTTTTCGACAGCACAACAGCCCTACTACAATTATACAATGTCTCATATTACGTTCTTAAGACCACCATTCATAGCACAACTGTAAATAACACACTACCATAATTCTTAAAAAAGCTGCGGAAATAAAAACAGCTTACTCCAACTTCGCCCTACCAGACTTTTGTTGCAAACTGCATTTTTGGAGGCTCAAAGGGGTATCCATCTACAAAAGGAACAAAACATTACAAATGCAGGTCAATAAATGTCTATATCCTCCTCTTCAAATACAGCTAACACAAACACCCTGTCAAGCAACCATAGCTAGTAGTAATAATATGGCACAATGAACGCGATAACCCATTTCCTTCATATCAACTTTTTTAACCGCCAAACAAACATCCTGCGACAGAGCACTGGCATTGGAAATTCAACAGATTGCCAAAGAATAAAACCCATCAAATACACGGTAAAAACACACACTCACTTCAAACCCCCAAAACACACATCATAATTCGTCCTTTTCCTCCAAATTAACAATACCTGATACACATTTAAATACCCTAACTAGCCTTATAAAATTACTCTTACAGCAACTAAGACGACTGGGCAAGATTTTCAATTTAAATCTTCAAGTATGTATCTTTTTCTTTCCCAACTTTCTTTTTCATCCAGTAAGCAAACACTCAAATGCAGCTGGATTGTTTTTTTTTTTTTAAAAAAAAGACACCCCATCAAAATTGAGCTGTAGAGTATCTCTAAGACATAAACAAAAGCTGAAACTCCTTGTATGCCAGTGTTTGTTTTAAGTATGTTACCTGGGAGAGTGATATCAATTTGAAAAGTGCCACCTTCATAAGGAGAGCTGATAGGACCAGGAATAGTTCCGGTTAATCGAGCAAGATTGTCAGATTTAGGTGCCACTTTGATGCCAGAAGCCTCCATGTCTCTGCTGCATTCTTGCAGCTCCTTTTGAACACGAGCAAAGTCGATCATTGTTTTTCAAACACAAAACCCTAACAATAAGAGAAGAGAAAATGGAAAAACATAAAAGAAATAAAAAGACTACTGCTTTCTTTCCCTCTCTTTATTTCTCTGATGGATGGATGATGCCTTCCCTTTTATGCCTCCTAAAGCCACTTTGGAGAGGGCAGGCCGGAAAGATAAGGGAAAGGGGTAGTGAAGTGATATTGTAGTGTCTTTGTCAGTTGTTTAATTATTAAGTTTACCTCTCTCTTTCGGTTTTTTAGTTGTCCCGTGTATCATCCGATGTGATTTACAGTTTCCAACATAATAATATTGTTTTTTAAAATATTTTTATTTGATAATATATTAAAATAATATTTTTTATTTTAAAAAAAATTATTTTTAACATTAATATATAAAAATAATTTAAAAATACTAAAAAATATTAATTTAAAATAAAAAATTAAAAAGTTTTAATTCGTTTTAAAATATTTCTAAAATGAAAAAAAGAAATGGTACGTTAAAAAATAATTAATTTAAATTTAATATAGTTTAAAATCAATTTTGGTTTAGTTATAATTTAATTAAAATTTAAAATAATAAAATAAAATGATATTAATTGTTGGATCAACCTAAATAACTCATCTAGTATATGATTATTCCAGCGTTAAATCTAATAAGTTTAATAAAATTGATATATTGAAGTAATTTATTGTTTAAAGATTTTTATATGATTTATAATTATTTTTAAATTTTAAAAATTATAAATTAATCCTTAAATTTTTTAAAGATATAATTGGTGTGTATTATTGTTTAATGTATGTTTAGTACTATAATAGTATTTAAAAATATATTAATATAATTTTTTTCATAATTTTTTATTCTTCATTGAAAAAAGCAATTAAGTAGCTACTTTTGATTTTCTTTTCTTAAAAAAAAACAAAAACTGTGAAATTTAAAAATGTTTATTAGGGAAAGTACGAAAACATCCCTGAGTCCAGTAATTTGTGGGCTGTTAAGCCCAATATTTAATCTGCGTGGGTTACGAGTAGGCCGTGAAAAAACAATAGTTATGAAATTAATCTGGCCTCGAATTATTTAAAGGTTGATTTTGTTACATTTGTATGACCAGTTAAAACCTAGATGAGATATAATCGATATTTTTATAATTTTTATCTATAATAACATAAAAAATTTAATAATTTTTTAAAATAATATTATTTTAATTTAAAAAATTTAAAAATTAAATTATGTGAATCGATTAACTCAAGATTATTCATCTTTGGAAGTATAATTACGGTTATTTTTAAGATATTTTTCATTTAAAAATATATTAAAATAATATTTTTTTATTTTAAAAAATTATTTTTTACAAAACAATATAAAAATAATAAAAAATATTAATTTTAAATAAAAATTAAAAAATATATAAAATACAAATATCCACAAGTTTTATTATTTATATGTAATTAAAATCCAAAATATAATAAAATTATATCAAAATTCCATAAATTATTAGAATTCAATTTTTTTAGGTTTAAATTTGTTTTATAAAAATTTTAATATGATGATATTAAAAATAATTTTTAAAAAATAAAAAAATTATTTTAATAAATTTCTATATAAAAAATACTTTAAAAAACAACAACCACTATATTTTTAAATTACACACATATCAACATTACAAGCACAAAAAATTATTTTTCCCACACTCTTCGATCATGGGTTAAACAATGACAATATGTATATGTCAATGGTTTTATAAGGTAAGAACTCATACCTGTCATTTAAATAAAATCCAAAATTTGACAAAAAGGGAAAAAAATACTAACATATTCTATAGTATTGTAAATCGACTTGCAACTGTTAGAAATCCAGGTTTAATGGACGGATTATTCATTTCTTTTAGAACAAAAAAATTACAAGAAAAAAAAATATTTCATTAATATTCATAAACTATGTTTATTAAACTCAATTTGATTTCATAGATTGATTCAGAATTTAACTAATCTCGTTTTAGCTTGAATGAAATTTTAAAATATTTTTTATGAATATACAACTCAATTGTTAAGACATGATTTAATTTTTTTAAAATGTTTTTCATTAAAACTGAGGCTGTGTTAATTTTTTTAATGTATAATTTGAGCCTGGATCAAATTATAAATTAGTATAAATTTAATAATTTTTTTTAAATTAATAGAAATATTCAGATAAACTTATATATATCTTGAATAATTTTACAATCCTTAAAATTCACTATATAAATCAATTAATAACCAAACAAACCTCAAATTTAACACTTAATCTCCGCTCCTCGTAATTTTAGTAACTTTCACTTAAACAATAGCACAGGAAGAAATCTATTGCTTTCACGTGGAAAAATAAATAACAAGATGCCGCGTATACATGGCAGACAATAACAGAGCAACAGAGACGTGGTTTTATGAGGCAAGTTGTGGTTTTCAGAAACGTGCAACACCAATTTTCAACCAGCCAGGAAGTTCTGGTTAATTAAGGAAAGCACTACCTCACAAAAAAAAGAGGCAGGAGAAAGATATAATTACAGGTGTTCAAAGGAGAGAAAGGAACCCATTGGATTGATTAAGGGAGATAGAGGAGGAGATGCATGTAGAAACAAGAGGAACTTCAAAGCGAAGAGAAGTGACTCCGAGGAGAAGAAAAAAGAAGATTTAGCACCAGTAAAGAATTGGGTTTTTGTTTGTTTGCTTTGTTGCTTGATTGACTGTCAGAGAATTTGATGCTCGTGGGTTTGATCAGTTGATGAAGTTTTAAGTAAGTTACTATCATCATGGACTTTTTTTGTTTGCTATATATATATATTGATTTCTGGATTGGAGTTTTGATTGTTAGCTTTTGTAGTTGCAATACCAAGTGCTAAAGTTGTGATCTTTTCATAGTTTTGGTTTGCTTTTCTTTGATTGGTTGGTTGCCTGGAACATGAATGGAGGTGAAAAATGGAATTAAGAATCGGGCATTAAGCTTCTTGTTGTTCTGGTTGTGAAGTAGAGAATGAATTTCACATGGACTTGATCATTTATGAGTGAATTCGAATCCTTTTGATGTTTTGAAGTTTATTTCTATCATTCTGTTCGGTTATTCTGATCTTTTTGAGCAATCTGCAGATGTTCATGTCTTGCTTCTGTGTTATCTCGGACTATAATAGTTTTATAGAGCTAATGTACTTTTACATGTTATTCCAGGGAATGATTGTTTTCGATTATGTTGGATATCTGGTTTTTTTGGGTTTTTCCACACAATCTAATGGAAGGATTGCAGTTGAAATGGAGTTGCTTTTGGTGACAGGGAGCAGTCGTGAACTTGTGATGGTCATACAAGTCAAAGTTGCTTCTTTGATACATGAGAAGTTGCACCCTTGAAGGTTTGATGTTCTTTAATGCCACTGGTAGGGTTGAAGGACTTGCATTGCATTGGTTTGCTTTGAGCATGATACATCCTTCGTTTTAATGTTTATTTATGTGTGTGTTCAGAAGAGAGTGAGGAATACTAGAATAGGGTACGGTGGACAATAGACTCAGCCTTAAGGATGGGCTTGCCTCAGTTCTCCTCCAGCAGCATTGCTGAGGAAGTAGCCACATCTTTGAGCACAATTGTGCAAACTTCGCCTCGAATTGTTGGCGTGAGCAGTTGTGGTTTGAGTGGGATGCATGGAGGAAACCTTGGACATCGAAGGCAGATAGAAATGCCCTGCACTTCTTTTACAGATTTGCAAAAGAAAACCAATGTGGAAAATAAGGATGGCTTGTTACGGTGTAAAAGTGGACAGCATGTCCAGACACCTGTTCCTAGGATCATTGGTTTTGAATCAAAGGGATTGAATTCTCCTGTTGGTGTATTTAATGGAAACCAAACTGCCTCTTCTTTAGTTACTATCAGGAGTAATGCATTTGAGTCCAGTGGGTCAGACAAGAAGCGGTTATTATCTCCTCTTAGTGGAAGGCTTCACCCTGATCAATTTAACGGTGCTTCCCTAGACATTGGAGATGGTATTTGTAAGAATAATCTTTGGGGTGGTAAGGACAATTACAAGGTTTCTATGTCACAAGAACATAAGAAGGCTCATATTGGAAATTCCAGTTATTCAAACTGGTCTGCATCTTGTCTTCCAGAACGGAAGAATTCACCTGATGATACTTATAGGGAAAACTACCTTTTCTTTTTTGATGGCCCTGTGATTGAGACAGAGCTCAAGCCTCCTGATCAGTTTTTTCATCCACTTGGACTTAATTATTTTGAAGAAACAATGAAGGTAAAGCATCAAATCAGTGCTATTGCACTTCCCTTAATAAAAGCAGCACCACCTCCCTTGTCATTGTCTCCTCTTGGTCCAAAACTCTCTGAAGGAATAAAATCTCCAGGAGCAGGCAGCAATATCACCAGAGAGCTTGATGATGATTATCTAGCCTTCACGGATATAGAACAGTCACTTAATGGGACAGTCTCTGGCATTTTATCTTCCCGGCAGGATGGGGGTTTTAAAATGCTAGATGAATCATTAGATAATTTTGATAATTTGCGCACAAAATTTGATGTTTTCACTCCTGAGATTACCAGTGGCATTAGACAGCCTTGGTGTGAGGACTCAAATCTTGGTTCCCTAAATGTCAGATCATGTAGAAGTTTTACTGGAATGCCTGTTAGAAGGTCTTTAGTTGGTTCGTTTGAGGAGTCTTTGTTATCTGGGCGTTTATCATCTGGTAAAGTTAGTCAGGTTAGCATCTTGAACCTTATGCTAGAAGGTTCTTTTTGTTCATTTGATTCAGATAAGGTTTTCTATCAGAGTAAATTTTTAACTTTTGACTCCCTATCATTTTTAATGTTCAGAGAATTGATGGGTTCCTTGCTGTTCTAAATATCACTGGAGGAAGTTTCTCCCAGAAGACACAAAAACTTCCTTTCACAGTAACTAGCATTGATGGAAATAACTACTTACTCTACTATGCATCGATAGATCTAGCAGGGAATGTGCAAGCAAACAAGTATAGTGACCAACATATGAGAAGGAGCCTTAGCATTGATGATTCACGACCCGAAAGAAGCAGGCTACGAATACCGATGAAAGGGCAAATACAGTTGGTAACTTATCCTTCTTTCTTGCAAGTTTGTATGTTAATCGAATTAGAACTCCAACTTTATTCTTTCTACAAAGAACAAAGTTTTTTTATTCATTTTTATCATGAATGAGTTTTGTGCCTTTGCTATACGATGGCAGTCTGCCCAAAAATATTCCTATAATAAATTAGGTGGTGTAATACAAGACTACATATCGTGGTTTTAAGTAGGATCTGAGAGGATAAAGAAAATGATATAATTATATTTGAGAGCAAGATCATATTTCTGGTGAGACTGCTGAGATGATGTCACTGCATTCATACTTCAGTTGTCTTGTCAACAAAATAGAATTTGGGTATGGTGCTAACACTTCTGAACTTTGTCGCATGATTGGCAGAAGCGTTTCTTGTGAGCATGTATATGTCTGTCAGTTCTTTAGCCAAAGAGATGACACTTACAGACTGAAATGGTTTTTGGCAGGTTCTCAGCAATCCAGAAAAGACACCTATTCACACTTTCTTTTGTAGTTATGATTTAAGTGACATGCCAGCTGGTACCAAGGTAACTGAGGATAAAACATACATGGTTATAAGATTGGTTTTGGATTAAGGTATCACTGAGAGATGGATAATTAACTTCATAAATTTGATTCATAATCACTCATGTTAAGATGTGTTCCCCTACTACATGAGCTGATTGTATGATGTGATGCTCTCCACAAATCTGTTTGTGTGATGATAAAGACCTGAAATCCTTGCTTGAGGTGAATTTCTTACCTGCTGCGCTATCCTGGCAATCTGCTGATCTTTTAGAATGCATATAAAATAGTATAATCTGAAAATTTATATCATGATTCCCCCCTGCCTATTAACATTGGTTGGGATGTTATTATGAAAATGATGCATAAAGCTATTGATGATTAACTCAGCACCGAATTCCATTTCTATAGTCATTCTGCACAAACGATTAGTGTCTTACATTGTTTAATTCATTTGACCACAGTGCATTGAAATTCTCAAAGTGACTGTTTTCCTCTTTTCCCCTTTGCTTCTATGCATTTCTGAATAGACATGTCTGCGCCAAAAGGTCACACTATCCTCGTCAGAACCAGCTTCTTTGTCTGTGATTGGAAGAAACAGAGATTCTGACATGGAAATTGATGCAAAGCCATCTGCAGTCCCAAAGGCTAATCATTCTTTACCTCATGGACGAGATGCTACCAATTCAAATCAACTTGAAACTGTACATAATACAAAATTCCCTGACCATAGTAGATTCAGTAACAGTGAATGTAAAATAACTGGTGTGGAGGGCTGCAGCCCTCCAAATACATCTCATTTGTGCATAAGCAAATCTGTAAATAGTCCTTCAAAGGTCAATGAGAACACCACTGGAGCTGGTGCTCTACGTTATGCTCTTCAGCTCCAATTTATGTGTCCTCTTCCCAAGAAAAGTTCAAGGTCATTCCAGAGGAGCACGTCTGATCCTTCATCTGTACCAGCAGCAAACAAGATGGACATTGCGAGTGATCGACGCTTCTACTTATATAGCAATATGAGGGTAGTCTTCCCCCAGCGCCATTTTGATTCAGATGAGGGCAAGGTATAATTTGTTGGGGTTTTTGGTTATCCTTTAATGAGTAAAAATCTTCTTCCTGTGAAATGCATGTTGCGATCTGTTTTTTGTTTGTTGTCTTGAATGATACTTATGGTGGGTAAGCATTAACGGACATGCATTTTAGTTTCATGATCTTGTTGCCCCATATGATTCAACCATGCTGTTTTGGCTATCCCAATCCTTTTCTCCTAGCTAATTGAAATACTTGGACAAATTTTTTTAACAAAACGATAGGCATTGTTGTGATAGCATCCTAGCAACAAGCAAATACCTTAGAACTCAGTGATCCATGTATGTGTCTATGGTTTTGGCATATGCGTCATTCTTTTTCTTTTTTGATTGGTATGAGTGATCGATTAGTAAAGGTGAGATTCAAACCTGAAATCTCTCACCTGCCCTTGCCTTTGCAAGAATACCATTGAGGTACAAACACATTGCTGCATATGCTTCATTCTTGTGCTAAAATCATAAGACCAATCAGATTATTTCACTTGTGGTTCTGTCTAACAAGGCATTCTATTTCACATGGCAGCTAAAGGTGGAATACGATCATCCGTCAGATCCAAAGTACTTTGACATTTAAAATGCCATGTAGGTTATCTTCTCTAATGTTAATGTTGTTCATAAAATTCTTATACATTTATTGTCATTCTCTGATGGGGCGGTGAGCTCTTTTTATTTGTACAGAATTGTCATTTTCCTGATAATAAAATTTATTAACTTAATGATTATCATGGTCAGTTGGGTGTTGTTTACCCTTTCTTCTCCTTCTCCACGGCAGGGTAGGGGTGAAAATATTGTCATGAACGGACAGATATTGTCTTACCGAATGTTTCATCCAAGACAAGGTTAAAAATGTTCTACACCGAATGTTTCATCCAAACCTTTTATTACCTGGGGCCAACATCCTTTAAATGGATGACAGATAAACACTTCAACTAAGTAGTGGTTATGGTCCAAACCTCTATTTGGAGGAATTCTATCAAAGGAAAAAGGGTTTTTGCCGATACGGCTACACCCCTTCGTTATCTTGGTTAAATTTGGTACTCCTTAGTGCAGAGAGTATTTGGCAATTTAGAGTGTTTATTCCAAAATACAAGGCCTAGATGCATGCTATCTGCTAAATTATAATGATAACCAATTACCAAATCAAGACAGCCTTGTAAATCACTGACATTTCCTAGTAAAACACAATAATTAGATGAGGAAGGGAATAGGTTAAAAGAGTCCGGCAAGCAATAATGACCAAAACAAGGAACAAGAGCAGCTATAATTAGGCATGATTCAGAGGAATTAAGTATTCAACAGTGTTTGTGTCCGGACTGCACCTGAATCTTCGAAGATGTTGTGGTGGGGACAGGGTTACATTAACCGCAGGCCAGATTTTCTTTCAGTCTCTACTGAACCACCCTGGCATTTTTCAGTTAAATTGATAATTTTCAGATAAGGCTAAATCCAAACAGTGGCAGCAGACATCCATTTTAGTGTTTTCCTATCGTAACATGTACTGCTGCGTTGCAGTAATCGCTTTTTATACATAGTAGTGGTGATGGGCCAACTGGTGGAAATTCATGGAGCTGCAATGAGAACTGTAATTAATGGCCTTCTTTCTTTTCTGTTTTCTGTTTAGGCGATATTCATTTCACTTTCTGTTTTTAATATAAACGGGGAGAGAAAGATATATATAACACTAAATTTATTTTTCAAAACAGTTTTTTAAAATAAATTTATATTTTTCTCAAAAGATTGGAAAATACACGTCTTCTTCTATTCTATTCTGAAACACTAAACTGGTGACTCTTTTTCCCTCCACTGCTTCTTTCTACTTACAAAAAGAAGCATGTAACATCCTGTATCTTTTTCTACTGTCAAAATAAAACTGGACTGTTCATTTGCAGCTAGAATTACAGTGGCCGAGGAGATTATATTGCCTATATTGGACTGTGGCAGCTTCTTTCGAAACTACTTATTTGAGTAGGCAGAAATCAATTCTATGAACACCCATTAGCATCAGTACTCAAGGCATCGCAACCACTAAAATCTGCTCTGAAGGTTGTGACATACGAAAAAGTAAATCTTCCCAGTTCGTAAATTTCTCCTCGTCAAGATCCATCGTCTAAATTCCATAAATATATGAAACCCAATTGTTGTGATTGGTTATTGGCCATTAATTTTGTAGACCTTTTTCAACAAAGTTTGCATCGGAGCATTCTCAGATTCCACATCTACCAACATTGTGTTTAAATTTACCAGAAGGAAATTGGGACATCTTCGGTGCTGAGTTTTCTTTTTAACTAATGATAGCTTGTAATTTGGAAAGCAATTTATTTCGCGTGACGTCCTGATCAAATGCTGTAGAAATCATGTGGGTTGAATAATTCAGTGATGTACCTTAAAAAGGTGGCCATGCATGCATGCATATCGGTACTCATTTTTTTTGGTACAGCACTTAGTATTTTTTTTTTTTAAGGGGAATTTCCTTATATTTTTTACATTGGTTCTCCTGCACATGTATATTCTGATTATATAATTAAATAAAAAATAATTTCTAAAAGTTTGTTCATGATAACAAGGAAATGATGTATTATTCTTCTAGTTTTAATAAATTCACATCAAAATCGTTCATGAAAATATATATTTTTTTTAATAATTTTGATGATATTTTATTTAAAAAATATTCTAGTAAAACAAAGGCTAAAAAAAGGAAGCGTATTAACAATATAAAGAGTTTGAAATTAAAGAGATACATTATTTATCTTTATTTCAAATCGTTCTTACATGTGTTTTTTAAAGATTAATAAGAAAATAGAAGGTTATATCAACAAGTTATTTTATTTCAATTGGATCTAAATTATTACTTTTCTTTAAAAAAACACTTTTTGTCATGTAATTAAATTAAAAAAAATAGCTCTTTTAGGACGTGATCTTGTATTTTAATTTGTATTTTTCTCAGTTTTCTAATTTAATCTTTAATTGATTTTTAAAAAAAATAATATTTATTTGTGTATATAATTTAATTTTTTTTAAAAATAATATTTATTTGTGTATATAATTTTTAAGTTATTTAATTAAATACTCAATTTTTTAGTTCACAGTTAAGATCTTTCTTAAAGTTAAAAAACGTATTGACATTAACTTATGACATGACTGGTGCGGGGAAATTAGCTAGTTTTAAAGCTAAAAAGCACCTTTTTCCATAAAATGGAACTTCTGTTCACTTTTCACTTAGTATTCCATTAGTTTTTTTTTTCCTTATGATACATGTTAAGGTTGGTCGTTGAACCTTCTTTGATCCACTAGTTGTAAATTCCCAAATAAGTATTAGAAAAATAAAAATGGTATTTTTTTTTAGTTTAAAAGTATAATTGTAATTATTTTTAAAAATATTTTTATGTTAAAATATATTAAAATAATATTTTTTAATTTTTTAAAAATTATTTTTAAGATTAGCGTATCAAAATAATGTAAAATATTAAAAAAATATTTTTTTGTGGAAGTTTATGGTTCTTTGTGATAAAAATACCGAAAATAGTTTTGTCTTTTAAAAAAAAATCAAGGAGTTGGAGGGAATTAAATGAGATGAAAATATTAATCTTTGTTGTATAATCTAAGTGCATGTAGCTCTCCAAATTATCTAGAATGCACTCTAATTTAACGATAGCAATACTTTTTTCTCTTTTTTTAGGATTTAAGGAAATTTTATTTTTTAAAAAATATATTTTTATAGATCCAGATAAGTAAGTAAAATTCCAATTATTTTAAATTCTTGTAAAAAATATACATCCTATTCTAATTTAAAACTTGTTGTGCAGATTTTAAACTCTTTATCGCCATACCATATTTTTAGAGACGACAGCAACACATTATTTCCTTATATTTCATAAATTACAACATGCCATCTATATTTTGATAACATAATATTTTAAAACCTTAGCAAATTACATCTAACGTAAGTTTGCATTCTAAGATAACGATGAAATTATTACAATGATATCATTCATCATATTTTGAAGCATTTTTAATGCCAATAATGTCCTTTTTCGTATTCCTCGCCTCCTTTCCACCTGATGATCATGCCCTTCCCTTTCTTTTCCCCTCCCTTCCTCTCCTTCCCATTTGCCCCTCCTCCTTTCCCAACGCCACCACCCAAAAAAACAGCCGTCCTTTTCACTCCAACCACCATCAATTTATTATTCTTGTAAATACCAAATTGGCCACATCCACGCGCATACATGTATAGATTGACACACACAATAAAAAGTCAAGTAAGTTTGAATAATTTAATTGGTGAAATTTTAAATTTATTATTTAATTATCATGGATTTGATTTAAAATCATTAAATTTATATAATTATTAATTTTAAAATCTATAAAATTAGTTAAAATACATGAAAAATGATCCAAAAACTAACATTAATAATATTAATAAAAATAAAGATTCAATTGCAAGACAACTTTTAGACTTTTGCATCATGAGTTTTTTCCCCTAATTAATTAGTAAATGGAATTTCTTCCTGTTTCAGGTGATTGTAATCAATGAAATCTTTTCTTTCAAGAAAAAAAAAAAAAAAGCCTTCCCTAATCGATCATTAAATAATGGAGAATGCATCGTAAATACGAGTGCCGAGGCTCTATGCCTAGATCACCACAAGTTTAAATATACAGACGAGCTCCATGCACCGAGGTTTTTTTTATATGTCGATTTGGTGGTGGGTTTTGATCACTAGTTCTTTAGGTCTAAGGGTTTGATTTGTATTTGGTTACATAATGGTGATAAGAAAGAAAAGAAAGAAAAAGTTTTCTTGCCATAAATAAGTAACTGGGTACGTACGAAAAGTAGTGGGGCAGCCATAAAATGAAGTGTAACTTCCAAAACTGTGGCATCCAAGATCTGGGAATGAATTTGCATGGCATGGCCAAAGCTAAGAGATCAAATGCCCTTTGCGTATCAATCTCCTTTTGCTTGTACTGTTTGCCGTTTGCAAGATTGGCGATGAACATCTTTATCTCAAGTACCTGGAAACTTAGCACATATTTGATCATTTCCACAGGAAGATTGAAATAATTTCTGTTTTCTAGCCATATGAGACAATGATTTTGATGATACGAAGGCTTGGAAGGAGAGAGGGAGAAAGGAAACAATCAAAATTCAAAGTAATCTTACCTTGTATGGACATCCACGTTGATTCAAGGTTACTTGTATTGCCTGGAACTCCTAAAATCATCTCCTTCGTAAGAAAACCTTCCATCTTTTCTTTAGCCCTAACGCTCTCTATAACTAAATATACATATGAAAGTTGTCTTAGATATTAGAGGCTATCCTAACCCATATAAAAAGAACTTTTTTTTTTTTTACAGGTGTGGTAGCTAGTTTATCTTGATAAATAATCATCTTAATTTAAAAATTTAAATTATTAAATAAAATTTTAGAATAATTTGTTTTATTTTTTAACATATTCTTTTCTTAATGAAAATCTTTTAAATTTAAAATTTGAACATGCGCAAACTATAGCATTGTAATGGAGGTAATGCATCATTGATTAATGTTGTTTGCATCTTTTATTGAAAAAAATTTCTATTCAACAGCATCAAGACAATCAGTGACAGCATTCAATTTCCTACATGGACACATGAAATAAAGATATTATTAATATTCGTATTTTCCTTCTTTTTTTTTAAGTAGAAAAAGGGTTTCTTCTCTCTTTTTGGTGTCCACTACTTAACTTGGTCTAAAATCAATCCGAATGTTGAGCCTAATTCTGATCCCTGATCATGATACATTTCAACATTTTCTAAAAATTCCAAGGATTTGGCAAAAAATCTTTACATTGTGTGTTGTAGATTAAAAAGACCCCACTTGTTTCTGTTGTTGAACAGATCACTAACATCATCGTTATCATTATTTTCCTTGAAAGATTCCTCGGCTTTCTCTTCTATAAAAAGCTCCCATATCCTCACAATCTTTTCCTCCCTATCCTTTCTTGTTTAATTTGCTTCCCCTGTATATCTCCCCTGTTTCTGTACTCTGTCTTTGCTTTTGTGTTTTGCCGTTTTTTTAGCTACTTCCTCGGTGAAAGATTTGGAAAGGAAATATGGCAGAAATTGAGACCAAGTTCTCCCAAAACCAGCCTTTGAAAACTCAAAAAATTTTCATTGGAGCTCAAATCTTCCTCAGAATTGTGGTAATTGCTGCCTCATTTGCTTCAACATGGCTTATGCTCACCAACAAGCAAACCATCGACATTGGAGGATTTGTACTGGACGCGAAATATAGCTACTCTCCAGAATTCAAGTCTGATGAACTAAGAAATCTTTTAAGCTTTTCCTTTTTTCTTTTTGCTATATATTTTCTTTGAAAAGTAAAGGACTTAAAAATCCTTTATTTTGCAGGTTTCTTTCTTACGCAAACATTGTTGTTGGTGCCTTCTCTTTCCTCTCTTTGTTGTTTCTTGTTCTTGTTGGTCGTCGAAGCTCCAATCCTAACTACTATTTCATTTTATTCCTTCATGATCTGGTATGCTTTGTTTTCTAGCACTCTTTTGTAGCATCTTGTATAGCGGTATAATATTCATTTTCATTTGATGTTTTCTTTGTGGTTTTGTTGGTAATTAACAGGCTCTGATGTCTTTGGTCCTTGGTGGATGTGCTGCTGCGACTGTAATAGGTTCCTTGGGGAAGAATGGGAATAGCCACACTGGTTGGATGCAAATCTGTGATCACTTTGGCAAATTCTGTAAGAGAGCAACAACTTCTGTGACTTTCTCTTACTTCTCCTTGGTTTGCTTGTTGATTCTTACCATCACCTCTGCAAGCAAATCCAGGCAAATTCAAGTTTAGAAATTAAGTGCTTGCAGTTGAATTGTCAGAAATAGAATGTGTAGACGGCAAATTATGCAGTAGAGGAACAACTTCTGTTACTTTGTCTTATTTGTCGTTGGTTTGCTTGCTGATGCTTACCACCACATCTGCTAGCAAATCTAGGCAAATTAAGGTTTAGAAACTGGAAAAAACGCGGTTGATTTGTCAGAAATAAAGTATGAATTAAAAAGGAATTAAAAAGGGTTCCAATGAGTAAATGTGTAGCTACTCCAAGATTTCTAATGAATGCTTTAATCTATTAAGAGATAACATTTCTCTCAGCCTCTCTACTTTTCTTCTCTTTGCCTCTTTTCCTGCTTAGAAAAGGGGAGAATCAAATTCAGCAGTAGATAGTATTTTCTTCTTCGTTTTTTCCATCTGTGTAAAGTGAATCAAGCATTACAGAAATGGTTCAACTAACAGAATGTTCCCTGATATCAAACCCCCACTGTTATCAATTTCCATCTGTGTAACCAGGCTTGCTGAAGCACACAAATTTGGATACCAATGGATCTTGAGGTCATTGGTGGTAGCTCTTCTTATCCACAAAGCGTTAATACCAGTCTTGAGAAGACCTTAATTTCTGGGAAGTTCTCAGCAACCTCATCAGGACAAATGTAAACAGGTAAGAGGAGCGACTAAACCTCTTAACGCAGGCCAAAACATAGAATTGTTTGCATGTAGCAATATTCGGATTGAGCTAGAAATGGGTTGTGTGTTAATGACCTTGATCTTACAAGGCCAACGCCATGAGTCCGCTTTCTAATATAATGAAGCCTTAATATATACATTTGATTAGCAAATGGTGCTCGGAAATCTGCTCTCAGACAGTTGCTCTCCCACATGAACATATATGGGAGTTCCACATGCACGTGTGGGCATTGGACAAGTAAAAGCGAGATCCTCATCTGCCACAAACTGGATTTTGATTTGAGAAGCAATTCTCAAACGTTTGCAGTAGCGGCTATGTATGCTGTCTTGATATGAAGTGTGCGGAATTGTTGAGAGAGAAGAGGTGAAATGAAGTGCAGGAGAGGCATATCGGCAACTAACATGTGGAAGTTTTGTCAAGACAAGCAACAGCCAAACCAAGATAACCCTTGTCTCTTTATATTTATATGAACACAAGTAAAACAAAAAAAAAATAGAAAAAAAATAGTTACTAAGGTATTAACGGAAACATTAAAGAATTTGAGGATGTTTCATTGATCTTGTGAACAGTTAAACACCTCCATTTTTTTTTAATTTTTGCCCTTTGTTTTAAATATCATTCTCAGATTTTTTGTTCTTATTTATTTAATATTTTTAATGTATTGATTTTAAAAATAATTTTTAAAAAATAAAAAAAATATTATTAACATATTTTTTTAAGTATAAAATATTTTAAAAAATAATTGTAACTATATTTTCAAATACGCTATTGAGAAAAAATCCTCTCGCTTCATGGGATTTGTTGGGCACAATAAAATTTAATGTTATGGATTAAAATAATTGAAGTTTTAGGTGCCAAAATTTAAATTAAAATAAATATTTAAATTCTTTTTTTTTTCTTTTTTGCCAAGTCACGGACAACATTGAATGAACTTGGAAAAAATACCCAGTGCGTGTGACACACTGCGTTGTAACTTTGAAAGGTCATATGACTATGATGGCGTGTAAGGTGGCCACAAGCTCCGGATAGGGTCTTTCGTGGTATTGATGGAATTGTCATGGCGACAGCTTTCTTACTTGATGTTGTGTGAAGTTCGATGACAAACTCTTTTTTCTGTTCTTATTTTTATTTCCTCTTCTCTCTCTCATATTCTTGGTTTATATGCATAATTTGTTGTTGTTTTTTATATTAATTTTTATTTTTATTTTTTCTATTGTCATTTTTAATGACAATTATTGTTTTATTTTGTAAATTAATGCTAAGTAAATCCTACAATGATATTTAAAATCAAAAAAATATGAGACAATTTGAGAAAGAAAAGGTGTTTTTTTCTTAAAAGGAAATGCAACTTAGAAGGAAGACACAATCCACAATTAGTTGCAAAAGTTACCCACTATGTTTTTTTTTTCTTATTAATTGACTTTTTTTTTAATTTAATCTTGTTACTTTAAGTTGACTTGAGAATGAGTTTGCTTCTTTGTTTTAGTTGGTTTTATAAAGGGTTTTTATAATGTTAATAATAAGTTTTAAAGTTGAGTTAATACTTGGTTTAGTAAAATAAAATAAAATTTTATTGATGCAAACCAATTTTAGATGTCTAATTTTAAACTGAAACATATATATTTTCTCTAAGAAATGGCATTTTTATATTAATTTTCTGACTTTATTTTTAGTTGAAATAAATAAATTTATTATTATTTATTTGTATATATGATTCTTAATTTATTTTGTTAAACACTTGGGTAAACTCTTCCATTTGCATTTATATTTTTTCTTGATGGTAAAAAGAAAAATGCTAATAATATCCGCACTTTTTTTTTTTTAACATAATACCCTTGATCAGCTAACCAGCCATCTCTCAATAACCCTTCTTTTAAGGGGTGGACTCTATCCTCCTTGGTTCAAGACTGATAACCCAATTGCTTAACCTTCCACTTTGATATGTCAACAAAAAGACGCTGCAGTCTATGCTCCTTTCCCCGAGCAGAGAGGTATATGAACAATTTGCATTCAGAAAAGGATTCACTAAGGAACAAAACAGGTATAAAAAAACGATCACACTGCAACGGAGATAGAGTTGCAGGCTGGAAAGGGTTTCTGCATTTTCTCCATCAAAACCAGGAGATTCTAAAGAAGTAGTCTGAAACCATGCAATGGCTCGCTCGAAAGTGCAAATAAATCTTGTTAGGTCCTCCGACCTTACCTGTTAAAGTGACTGCCGACACAAAGTGCAAAGGGCATAGCATAGAACAAATACACATGGTCAAGAACAAACGCACATGGCTTAGACCCACTACTGTACGGAAATCGTCCAGCCAACATCCATTAAACTACTTAAACTAGACTAACATATTTGGAACTATCTCCATCACTGAATATCATCCATAAAGAAAATCATTTTGGGACCCTGTCGCACTCTGGGGTGGCCAAAAGAAGGTGCTTAACCATTCAAGTTAATATCGACACTAATGCAAGGAGTCAAGTCTGATCCTAGAATAGATGCAGGCCATATCCACATACATCAATAAACAGATCTATATCAAACTCCTGGGAGCTCTTAAATTTGTTCTGACAAAAAGCTTATGCTTGATCCAAATGGTAGAAGTTTTAAGAATTATGGAACCCAACAAAACACTAGCCAAATTAACCTGCCTGGAAGAGAATAGATATTATATGAAAAATCCCTTATTAAACGAGGAACTTGATAACAAGCTTCGATTAAGAAAACTCAGGGCTACTCACAAGCAGCAGAAAATAGATATTATATGAAAAATGCGGTCTATTCTCAACAGGTTCTGACTCTAAAAGGTACTGCCTTGCAATACAACTTAACTCTGCCTTAATTATTATTTGCATTTAGCTGCTACGAGGAATCAACATTTTCAACGAGTACTGTGTAGCAGAAGTATGATCTCAAACACATTACAAACTGTTATTCAGTTTCGGATACAGAACATAAACTCCAGTGTTGTTAGGTCAAACAAAACACAATCTCCTCACTGCAACGAAGAGGTTTTCCACTAGAAACTAAGCTAAAAATTGTTTACTCCTAAAGCAACTTAACAATCATATGAACAAAAAGAAAAGGAAAAAAAATGCAAACACGAAACAAGAGTAAGAGTAAACACAAAAATGTACATATGGATTAACGAGCCATCTTCGTTCAGGTTTGAAGCACCAATGGTAAAATTATATCCATGCTAGGGCCTGGCAAAGACACCCCAAATCTTACCCCGGCCAAGCCCATCCAAGAGCTTCTTAGATCCTTCAACATTCATATCCACAAGTTTCTTCAAGTGCACGCGAGCACCAGCAGCAATCATTTGCTTCCTACACTTCCTAGAATGTACAAGTGAGGCCAATATAGAAACAGGGTACTTCTTATCCAAATTCTGTATCGAAGTATCCAATAGCTGAACTGTGCTGACTATCCCTCCCTCAGACTTCCTGAAAATTCTCCTATTACCAGCATACAACACAAGCAATGACAAAGCTTTCGCTGCTGCTTCCTTCTCTTCCACAGCCTTACCATCCAACATTTTAATCAACGGACCAATGCACCCCAATTCACCGATTTCTTTCCTTGTTTTAGTGTTACAACTAAGCTCAGACACAGCTCTAGCAGCTGCAATTCTCACTCCCGAGACACCAAGATTCAACACCGCCACAAGCCTAACAATAAAACCATCAGAAACAAGCCCTTCAGCAATGGCTTGGCTAGAAGCCAACTCCCTTAACAAATCAACAGCAACTTCAGGACTCCTTATCGGAGGACATGAATCCCAGTAATTCCTCAAACACTCAATAACCCCTTCCTTGACAATCAAAAGCTTCAAATTTTCATCATCCTTAACCAAGTTGCATAAACAACCAATAGCATTTTCTTGAGCTAATGCAGTCCCAGATCCTGCAAGCCCAATGAGAACAAAAACAGCATTTTCTTCTATAAAATTCTCTCTAATCTCCTCAAACACAGCCAAGTTCCTCAAAACGCCACTTGCAAGACCCTGTGAACTAGGTGTTCCAGCTTGACAAATCTCTAATAATGAACAAATCCCACCTCTAGATCCTATTGCCCTTGCATTCTCTCTCGAAGAGCTTAAAGTTTGAAGTGCAATACAAGCTTTTTCTTTCGCGAACCCACTTCCTGATTCGAGAATCCTAATCAACTGATTCAAAAGCAACAACCCTTCTGCTATCAAGACATGTTTACTGCTATCCACCATTGAAATTATTGAAATTGCAGCTACAGTTTTCTCTTTAATATCAAGACAACTGTTACAATCAAGTAATCTAACAAGAACAGGCACAATACCTTGTGCAACAGCAATCATTACATTCTTATCATCCTCCTGAACCAAACTCAAAACTGAGTCCATAGCCAAGTTCTTAGACTCAGGGCTCCCTATTTGCAACCGAGTTATCAAATTCCTTGACTCAGCTCTAACAAGCTCTCTTTTTGAGCCAGACCCAGATACTATTCCATCTTGAAGAACCCCACTTTTGATCAAAATCTCACAATCTTTCACATTTTGATTCAACTTGGCTAAAATCGAATCAATATCACTTTGAGTTTTAAGCTTCCCTTCTGTCAAGTTTGTATCTTGACACTTCTCAGCTGAGAGGATAGCATCGGTAAGAGTTTGTGAAATAGAGTGAAGGAGATCGAGAGAGAGTGGGTTAGTGAGTGAAGTTTGGAACTCGGAAAAATCAGTGAGTTGAGTTTGGAGATCAGCTAGTTTGGATTTTATTAAACCCCATTTGCCTTTGAAAGATTGTATTAACGGGATATGGTGGTTTAAAAGGGAGTGTAAAAGGTCGTTTGCGAGAGTTATTGGGTCGTTCTCCGGTATTTTCATGGTGGGTTTTTTGCAGGGTTTTTTGGTGAGTTGATGGAGGAAAAGTAGAGAATGAGAGAAAGATAGGGTTTTTACCTTTGTTTTGGCTGATCTTTAGAGGCTACAGAGAGAGAGAGAGGATAGGCTATTCTTTAAAGTCTGGAGAGAGAAGAGGGGGGTTGTGGCAGGTGGTCGTGGTCGTGGCGGCTATGAAGCAGTATTGTGTCACGACGGAGCAAAGAGAGTGTGAGAAGAGGAGAAATACTAGTAATGTGATGGCACAGGGAATGGTGAGCAGGTGAGGTTTGATATTTAGATGCGGGTTTCAAAGAGTGGCCACCACTCGCTTCCATAGGCTATGCTACCATCTAAGTAAGATTTTAGTAAATATGTAATTTTTTTTATTATCATGTTTAGTTTCCTTTAAATTTTGCAATTTAAAATGTTGTTGGGATATTATAACATTTTTAAATTTTGTATTTTGAGTATGATTGGTTCATTGTAAAATTATATTTTAAAAATATATGACTTCATTAAATGTCATCCCAAGTAAAATTAATTATGTTGTAAATTATTATGGAAAAAAAACTTTTAGACCGATTTTATTTTTACTTTTTCATAATATTAAAGTGAAAAATATATTATTTTAGTAAT